TCTTTAGAAAATTTATAAAATATATGTTCAAAATATCTTTTTAAGGAATAAAAAAGTTAGAGTTATTAGTGAAATAATTACACACACATATACGTAGTATATATATACACAGGATTATTCATGTTCATTCCTGACCGGACCGTCGTCCGGCCTCCGCCGCCTTTTGGGGCGGTTCCCGGTGGTATTTTTTGCTGAAATGTTTTTTTATCTTCTTCATCAAGTCTAGTTTATCCACACCAAAATTCAGCTAAAAATTCAATCGGGAAGGCAATCAAATGATTTTTGGAAAATAACTGCGTTTTTTATGTATATTTTAGCACAGTTATCTTCCAAAAATCATTTGACTTCCTTTCCGATTGAATTGGCAGCTGAAATTTGTATGCATATACTATACTTAATGAAGAACATGCAAAAAAAAAACAATTCAGCACAAAATACCATCGGGAACCGCCCCAAAAGGCGGAGACCGGACGGCGCTCCGGTCAAGAAATTCATGACCGGAGGATTACTATATATATATATATATATATATATATATATATATATATATATGAATAAAAGTAAATGTTGTTTACAAATATGTGACCTCTTAAATGTAATTCATGACCGGAGTAGTAACTTATGTTTAATTTTTACAGTACCCTTAAGTGACCATGCATAAGACTATGCACACAATTTTTCTTCTTATTCAACGCGTCCTCCAGGAGTCGAATCTGATCATCAAACTAATGGAAGTTGAAGAAATGTCCTAACGGGTAGGCAACAGATGGACAAGCACAGTTGGTATACCGTGGGAGCAACCCATGATGAGCATGTTGCTCCCACAACAAAAAAGGCATGCGCGTGAACATTATTAACTTCTTTTTTGTTTACTTCATTGTATTAGTAACAGAATGATGTAGCTCACGTGTAAAGAAATGTAACTCACGTTGTTAAGAAGTGTAACGGCGGGCAAGCCGAAATGTAACTTCCTAATACAGATTATAAGAAATAAAACATTGATTTTAATGAAGAATAGGAGTGTAATTGCAAAATTACTTTACCTAAATAGTTAATATTTTTTTATTTTAATATTAAGGCCAAAAAATGAATGTTTATATATTTTTTGGCCAAACATAATTTTTTCGCCAAAAAAAATCATTCTTTTTGCAAAAAAAAGTGATTTTTGTTTCAATAGAAGGGGTTAACTTAAACAGTGAATACATTTTGTTTTTAATACTAATGCCGTAAAAATGTTATTTTTAAATCACTTTTTTTGCCAAAAAACATTTTTTTGGGAAAAAATTAATTTTTTTTGCAAAACAATTTCAATAGTAGGCTTTATGTGGTGATAATGTAATTCGTGTTATGGAAAATGTAACTCGCGTTTATGGAAAATCTAACTTAGTTGTATGCAAAATATATCTTGTTGAGGCAAACCAAAATGTAACTGGCGTATATAAATATGTAACACACGTATAAAAAGATGTAAGTCACGCATAAGAAGATGTAACTCCATATACTATCAAATGTAAACAATGAAAAAATGAGTCAAATTTCTCAATTAATTTACGTAAATAGTCAATATGTTTTGTTTTTAGTATTAAGGTTATAAATATGTTTTAAAGAAAAATATTTTTTTTTGCCAAAGAAACATATTTTTTTGCCAAAAAAACATTGTTTTGCCAAAAAACATCTTTTTTTATTTGCAAACAAATTTATTTTTTTTCAATAGCGGGGGTTTATTTTGTGATATAACTTGTGTTATGAAAAATGTAACTTGCGATGTTGGAAAATCTAACTTAGGTATATGAAAAATGTAACTTGTTGAGGCAACCCTAATATAATTGGCGCATAGAAAGATATAACTCACATGAAGATGTAACTCGCACATAAGAAGATGTAACTCGAAAAAAGACTATCAAATGTAACTCCAAAAAATGTCTATAAACACAACTCACACATATGAAAAGTGTAATCTCATGTTTTATCAAATTTGAATTGAAATAAACAAATTTAATGTCTTGAAAACGCTAAAAACATATAAAAGAGACAAGAAATATATCTTTTTGTGCAAAGAGATAAAGAAATACATTATAGAAAAAAGTGTGTGAATATGAAAAATATTCTAGAAAAAAGTGTATAAATGTAAGAATATTACACAAAACATAAATTTAGTAATAATTTCAGTTGAAGAAAAAAGGTAAAGAGTTATGTATTTTAGTAGTACAAAATATTACAGAAATAAAATTATTTTATTTAGATTAATTAATTTTTTGTTATGTATAGATAAGAAAAAACAAAACTAGATTCAAATGATAATTTAAGTTGAAGATAAACAAAACATAAATTGCAATTAATTTTTTAGTATTTTAATTTGATGGAAAAGGAGAAGAGTTGAAGAAAAGAAAAATAAAGAAAGAAAAGCAAAAGAAAAAAGAATAACAAAGCTCCGGGGAAAAGAAGAAAGCAACGTAACCAGGGGCGGATCCACCCTAGGGCTAGGGGGTGCCCGTGCCCCTGCGGTGATATATATTGGAAATTTCTCAGGTCCAGCACCTCCCGGTCCGAACGCCATCCGAACACCGCCGTTTGGGGCGGTTCCAGGTGGAATGTTTTGATGAATTTTTTTGAGAATGTTTCTCATCAAGTCTAGTTTATCTATATCCAATTTCAGGTCAAAATTCGACCGGGAAGGCAGTCAAATAATTCGTTGAAGTTAACTGCGTTTTTCTATGTATAATTTGGCGCAGTTAACTTCAACGAATTATTTGGCTGCCTTCCCGATCGAATTTTGAGCTGAGGTTTGGTATGGATAAACTAGACTTGATGAGGAACACGTTCAAAATATTTCATCAAAATATTCCGCCGGGAACCGCCCAAAACGCCGGTGTTCGGACGGCGTTCGGACAGAAAAGTGCTGGATAGAAAAGTTATGCCGATTGAGACTTATGATGTTAATATTAGAGATGAGTTGAGGAGACGTTATTTGAGAAAAGGTCCTTGCCAACCGCGTGACTTTAAATTTCCACAAAGTGATTTTAATGGGTGCAACAGATCTTTCCAAAAACAGTGGTTTTATTTAAATTTTATAGTTTTGTTTATTGCTATACTCGTGATGCACATGATTTTTTTCTAGACTAGTATATCATTTCTTTGTTATTGTGCCCCTGCGAGTCACGAGTCCTGGTTCCGCCACTGAACGTAACGTACGTAAGTATCTAAAGTGGGATCGGCACACCATGCGAAAGGTGGATCAAGATTTCGATCTAACAATTTTTGAAAAGTTGATTTTTAATTACTTGATGGATGCCCCATTACACCCTGGGGCAACAAACGTAGTTGGAGCAATTTCGGGGAATTTAAGTACACATTTATAAGAGTTACTACCTCCGTCCCTCTTATATTGGATCGGAAGAGAGTGGCACGATTATTAAGAAAAGTGGGGTTGTGTGGTTGATATTAATTGATAAAGTAAGAATAAAGTAAGAATGATTTAGAATCACACAAACTTTGCCAAATATATATGGTCTGAAACAATTTTAGTGAGACTTCCCGGAAAGGTAAAACGGGACAATATAAGAGGGACGGAGGGAGTAATTATTAATTTCACCGTTGGTACATTTTTTGTATTAATAATGAAGTCGATGTAAGGAGAGGAGGATTGTCCCAGAACTAAAGGAAAACGACAAACGCTCACCAGGAGTCTTATATTATACTCCCTCCATCTCAAAAACAACTTCTCACTTTCCTTAAATGGATGTTCCAAAATTAACTTCACACATCTTCCCACTTCCTTATTTGGCAAATTATCAACATCAAAACAGTGTCAAACAATACCAAACAGTGCCAAACATTGTCCAAACAGTGTTCAAACAGTAAAATTTTGGGAAAGTCAAACCAAAATTTTAATCTACCTAAATGTGTGTGCTAGTCAAACTGTGAAGTTGTTTTGGGGACGGGGGGAGTAAGACCAAAGCATATACTACGTATATCATTCAATATGCCTTATACTTAAATACATGTCAAATAATTAGATATTTATATTAAAATAAAGATTGTTTACAAAAAATGACTATAGTATTAACTTAATTATAGTAACTACTTATGTTCAATTTTTAAACTTTGGTGTCCATGCATGACACTATATTATACGATAGTACTAACTATTAGTCAAACATGTGTAAATGAGATTTATTTTAATACTCCGTACGTAATAGTTTTGAAAAGAACAATATATATACTCTCAGTTACGAGTATTACTTATTAGCACAATAATAATATACATCTTGCTTGATACTCCCTCCGGTCCTAAATAAATTTCACACTTTCCATTTTGGGTAGGTTCAAAATAAACTTTACACTTCTTCTCTCTTTCTTATTTGGCAAATTATCTACATCAAAACAGTGCAAAACAGTGTCAAACAGTGTCACGACAATGTACTATACAGTAAAGTCAAATTTATTTCCTTAATTTGTGTGAAGTTATTTAGAATCGGGTGGAGTATTTTTCTTGTTCATGTACGTGATCCTTATTACTCCACTATTTTTATTCTCTTAATAAATTCAAGTCTATGGAAAATAAATATTTACATAGATAGAAATAACGCTACGTAAATTGACCGGCATTGGAGATCTACATCAAGTAAGATGAAGCATAATTTGCTAGGTTTGCTACTTTAAAAAAGTAGGGTAAGGATTAAGGAATACGTACTACTCCGTATGGAACACGGCTTGCTCGCGCAAAAGTCAATTTTGATTAGTATCCCGTACGTATCTTTTATAAATCCTAACACTATCTATGAGTATTGGTATTTATAATTTTATGAAAAATATAATTTTAATGATATATTTTTAAAGAAAGTGTATTTTCAATAAACAGCACATTCATATTATATATTTTACATTGTAAATACTGTCCTATATATCTTTGGTTAAGTTTAATTTGATTGACCAACCCATGTACGTACCCGGCCTAGCTATTTATATGCATTGGGTTTAATTTGTCATCGATCTTGAATTCACGTACAGATCGAGATAATAGTATCCATCTGTCGACGTAAGAAAGCTAAGGGATATACTACATGGGGGGATCGGGAGTGAGCGGAAGTATGCTAATTATTGTCGTTTGGATCCTTTGTTTATGCGGCGGCGGCACTCAGGCCGCCACCTTCACTATTACAAACAATTGCACGTATACCGTGTGGGCAGCGTCTTTTAATGTCACCAGCGGTGGTGGCTGGAAACTAAACAGCGAGGGGGCGACGAAAATGGACGTGAAGGAAGGGACCTCGGGTGCGCGCGTGTGGGCCCGGACTAATTGCAAATTCGACGGTGCAGGGAAGGGGCAGTGTGAAACCGGGGACTGTGGGGGTGAGTTTTATTGCAAAAGAACAGGGGCAGCCAATACGACCCTGGCACAATTTTCTCTAAACCAGGCCGGTAATTTGGACTATTACGATATCTCCAATGCCGCCGGCTATAATCTTGGGATGGCTTTCAGTCCCACAAATAGTCAATGTGATGCCCTCTCCTGCCCTGATGATGCCAACCCCCGCAACCCTTGGAACAGTACCCGTAACTGCCCATCTGGATCCGACTACCACATAGTCTTTTGCCCTTAGCCCTTCATGCATGCTAGCTAGCTTGTACGTCCTTAGCTTGCACCATTATCATGCATACAGCTTGTTTTCTTTAATTTGCATTCTTCCTCTGTCCATCTTCAATTCTCATCGTGTTTCTGTTTTTGTTTTATCAAGCTTATACTATCGTATACTATGTATGTCATTTTGTCCCATGACACAAATGATCCATGTGCCCTTCTTCTTCAATGAAATCTTGACATTTTCCCCTACTATTTCATTTTTTGTATATCTATACTCCGTATGAATTAAATATGAAAAGGCACTATCACTATAAAAAAAATCAATAGAAATTATCCGAGAAATTAAACCACGGTAAAAATAAAAAATAGAACTTTATGTTTTTATTCTAAAATATGACCATATTACTCTTATTTTAAAACATACCTATTTAAAGGTTAGTACAATAACTGGGTGGGTTGCGATGAATCGCATACTGATGAAACGGTTAGCAACACGTACAAGAGGGGGGTGATTTATGTGTGTGTGGAATCATGCCAGTTTTTCTCACAGTTCTAGTGTGAGGTTCAGGGAATGCGAAATAGTAAAGTGCACAAGAATTTAACGAGGAAAAATCTCTTGGCTCAAAGGGATTAAAAAAAACTTCGGCCTCCCTTGGAGGAATTTTAAACAACTTCACTAAAAGCCTTTTGTGGTTACAAGGTAAATTCTCCTAATCTACCCTTGAGCCACCCCAACTCTAACCTTTCTAGGAAGAGTTATGCATCTCTACCTTGCGGGTAGAGAGCCTCTCAACTTTACAACAAAGCTCTCACACACACGTCCCCAACCCGAGGAAGGTACACTTTAGCTTTTCCTCGAAATTCAATTACAAGTTAAAGAAGGGAGATGAAACTATATCTAGAACTTTGTGGGTGGGTTCAGGTGCCTTGGACTTGATATTTCTTTGTGTGTGTGTGTGTGTGTGTTGGTTCAAATAAGAACATGATCTTATCAAAAAAATGAGAATGAATCTGGATCGTTAGATTTGCTTTATGTGAAATTCAATGTGCATTGGATGAAGCTGTAATGTGTATTAGGTGAAATTTATATGTGCAGCACAAATGGTACAATGTAGTGGCATTATGTGAAGCTAAATTGTGCATTAGGCGAATTTGAAATGTGCACTAGATTAAACTAAAATGTGCACAATAAAAGGTACGATGTGATGTTGTTTTTGTACCTTTTATTCTGCACATTTCAGTTTCACCTAATGCACATGTGAGTTTGAATTTTAATTTTGCACATTTCATAATCATCTAATGCACATTTTGGTTTCACCAAATGCACAATTCAGTTCCACATAATTTAATCCAACGGTCAAGATTCGTTCTCATTTCTCTCCTAAGATCCGTTCTTACCGGAACCGCTCCATATATACATATATATATATATATATATATATATATATATATATATATATATATATATAGTTGTCTTGAGGCAGGCCGTTTGTGCACCCTTCCTTGAATAGTTGTCCTTCCAATTTTGGGTCTTGCCTTGATATTTTGAATTGCTTTCCTTTCATGGCTTAGATTATTTTTGCAAAGATATGCTCTTAAATATTTGCATAAGTAAGGAAGAGTATAACCTTGTTTAATATAGCATAAAAGATATTAACCATCACTATGCACGGTCAATCATTCACACATGAAATAGCACACATTCTTAACATATTGAAACATGCAACGGACTCACTCCTTAAGAAGGATTTCCATTTAATTTTTAACTAATAAAGATCTTCGCACATGTGTGTTTAAGGAAACATTTTCTTAGCATATTCAATTAGGCTACAATCCGCAGGATTCTTGTATTAAAAGTAATGATTCTTTCCATAAGCAATCAAGCCATATCAGTCAACTCATTTACGAGAGTGATTAAACATGCATGGAATGGGATGTTAATTAGGCCACGTAGTATCAAGAATATTAGAGCGTAGATTTATCATGTATGCATTCATCATTCATGCTAATATATAAAACTCAACATAGATGAGAGTTCTATCCTATGGTTCACCTGCATGGTTAGATACATATGAATGTTTGTTTGGACCATAGGATAGTTCCTGTGAGAGGTTTAGTCATCAACAAAACCAAATACATAACAAATTCCCCCTTTTTGTTGATGACAAACCTTAGGTGCCGGAAAATCCTGCAGATTTAGTGTTCAAACAAAATATAGCAGTAGCAGCAGTTTAAGTGTAGCAGCAAAAGGAGGCACCTGATTATTTCCCCCTTTTGGCATCAACCAAAAGAAAACGGAAAATAACCAAAACAATGTCGGAAAGTAAGTAATAAGATATCAGTTTAAGTGTGTTATCCCTCCTCAAAAGCATAGCAATTAAGAAAATGTTTGTTATGATGGCGAATTATTCTTCATCCGATGAGGAAACGATTCTCCTGCGGAGCCCTTCACTGTCTTGTTCAAATTTGGCAACCACTTCACTTTGAAAAGATTTTAATTCGTTGCGGACTTCCTCAAGCCTACTGGAAAGAGATGTCACTGATTCGGCCAGTGAATCAAATCGGCGTAGCAAAGTGAGCTCCATGAGGTGTAGCTGTTCTTTGACAAGAGTGACAAAATGCATTAGGTTTAGAAGCTTTGGTTGAGGGAACTGGAGTAATAGTTTCCTTGAAGGTGAGTTTGGAATTGTGGACAATTATACCGTAGTTCAGGAGACCCTTAGTGTCAAGGTTCTTGTGAATGATGTGGTAAGGCAGTTTGTCGAGAGAAACGCCCTTTTTGATAAACAATTGTGTCAAGATAGTGCCAAAAGGGATCCCAACCTTCCTAGAGTGATCACTGATGGTAAATTTGAGATGGGAAAACATAAGACCAGGAAGGTTAATTGGGGTTTTTGTGGCTAAGAGATACATATACGCAACTTCTAGCCTAGATGAAATCAGTCTTCCTTCAAGTCGAGGGATAAGATTGGAATGAACAAAGTAAAATAACAACTTGTGGACAGGAGACAAGTTACTCACATGAAGAGAAAGACTGGATACATTTGGGTCAAAATATTTTAAGGCATCAATCTAGGGCACAGTTGACAGTGACCATTCCTCCTTCTTGTATGGGCACTCACCAGTATAGGGAACATCTAATACCTTTGCAAGTTCTCTGATGGTTAAACGTAACTTGGTACCACGAATACGAGAGACTAGCACATTTTCTTTTATTACAAGATTAGCAAGAAAATCGGATAAACAGTTACGATAGATGGGCCAGCAATGTTTAGTTTCGAACAGAGACCCCCATTTTTGAAAAGCAATAAGTTCTACAAAATCGGTGGTTTGAGAGGAGAGTTCGGTGAAAGGAATAGAAATTACCTTAACAATGCCTCGTTCCATGTATGTTGCTTTGAGTCTGAGAGCATCTTCTTCTGCCACTTTCCCGATTTTAGGGTATTTTTTATTGATTCATCTCTGGGGATGATACCCTCAGCAATGGCCCTTTTCCTGGTGTACTTTCGAGGCAGGGCTTTCCCTTCACGAGTGAGTGGTTTATCCTTATAATGCTTGACCGGAGAAGGAGTGGCTGAGGAAGATGGATTCTCTTCGTGTTCCCCCTGAGAGGATGCGGGGGATGGTGGTAGGGACTCGGAAGGTTCGAAATGTTGGTTTTGCATGTTGGTAGGAGGTGTGGATTCAAGTTCAATCGGAGTGGATGAGGATGGTCGTGGTAGTTGTGAGTTTCGTTTCCGACCCGAGCGTTGAAGTGCGGTTGGAGGAGCACGACCTCTGGTTTTAACCATGGTGGTTTAGGGAAGAAAGAAGGAGGAGTTTATGGAAGGTTGGTGAGTTTGGAAGTGGGCGGCTGCATAGATACTTGGGGATCCTTTTACTCTTCCCAAGAAAATCTTAATGATTTCTTTTCAAGAATTAATTTCCTTATGAAGGAAGTGGCCGGTTGTTTAGCTCACGCACCAAAAAAAATATGTTTACAGCCCTTAAATACTTTATTAAATTTTGGCAGTTGAAAGAAAAGTTCTATTCATAACACTACTTGCCCCTTTTATGAAAATCAAGTAGAAAGATTCCCCCTAAGTTGGAAAGTAATTTAAAATTCATGATCCAACAATATTAAGAATTTAAAAGGAGAAAATAATTTTAAGCATTGATAAGACCGAGTTCAAGTCGAATTAATTCAAACCTTTCTCTTCCTAGATGCTTGGTAAAGATGTCAGCAATTTGCTTGTCGGTGTTGCAATATTCCAGCTTGATTAACCCATTTTCCACACAATCTCTCAGAAAATGATGATGGATATGGATATGTTTCGTCCGAGAATGCATGACCGGGTCTTCTGAGATGTTAATTGCGCTAGTATTGTCACATAGGATGGGCGTGCAATTTAAGGCAATTCTGTAGTCGTTCACTTGTTGCATGATCCATAGTGATTGGGAGCAGCATGATGCGGCTGCTACGTATTCAGCTTCAGCCGTTGAAAGAGCAACTGAATTTTGTTTCTTCGGACTCCATGAAACTAAGCAAGGACCTAGGAAGTGATCCGTTTCAGATGTGCTTTTTATATTCTGTAAATCACCTGCAAAATCAGAGTCTGAATATGCAATAAGATTAAAATCCTCATTACGTGGATACCATAAGCATAGATTCATAGTTCCTTTGAGGTATTTGAGGGTCCTCTTGACTGCTTTGAGGTGTGACTCCTTAGGATTTGCCTAGAACTGAGCACATAGACCTACACTAAAAACAATGTCAGGTCTATTGGCAGTTAGGTACAGTAGGGACTCGATCATTCCTCGGTACATCTTCTGGTCTATGCTTGTTCCTTTTTCATCTGCGTCCAGCCTATCATTTGTTCCCATAGGAGTTGTCATTGTTTTGCTTTCATTTGCTTCATACTTCTTGAGTAGTTCCTTAAGATATTTTTGTTGGGATATTTGGGTTCCTTTGTTTGTTTGTTTGATTTGTAGACCGGGGAAAAAATTTAATTCACCCATCATACTCATCTCGAATTCGGAGTTCATAAGAGAGGAAATTTCATCACAAAGTGAATCGTTAGTAGCACCAAAAATAATATCATCTACATAAATTTGAACAATCAATAGGGTTTGATCTTTTATTTTTAGAAAAAGAGTTTTATCTATTTTTCGTCTTTCGAAACCATTTTCCAAAAGAAATTTAGATAGTCGTTCATACCAAGCACGAGGTGCTTGTTTGAGACCATAGAGTGTTTTATCTAGTTTAAAAAC